CTCCAGGACGTCGCCGGCACCGTCGAGCAGCCCGCGGCCGACGCCGCCTCAACGACGACGGCAGCAGCGGCCGAGACCGGCGCCGATGCCCGCAACGCCGCTGCGCTCCGCTACGTGTCGTCGCAGACGCTCTCGTCGCTCACGTCCTTCTTCCAGGAGACGATCCGGCTGCTGGCGCCGAGGCGCAACGTGGATGCGGCGCACAAGAAGGCGGCGTTCCAGGCTGCCGGCGAGATTGCCCGCGTGCTCCAGCAGCACCTGCAGTGGCGGCCGTCGGACAACCTCACCAACAGCTTCGCCTTTGCCACCATGATGATCTGCCAGGCCAACTGCTTCCTTTTCGACGACCGCACCAACCCGGGCACCGTCCTCACCGCCGTCCTGCGCCCCTTTGACAAGGCCGGCGGGCTCGACGCGCTGCTCGGCCTCTATCGGCGCTACACCGACGAGATCGACCTGCACTACAACGCCAAGGGAGAGGAGAAGCCGGCCTCGGACATCGAGGCCGGGCTCAAGCTCGGCCACACCTGCGGCGGCCTCAAGGTGCTGCTCGGCCTCTTTCACCGCCTCGTCACGGCCAAGGGCCTCACCGAGTCGGCCCAGACCAACCAGCTGATCAAGGAGGGCGGCCTGGACCAGTTTGAGCCGCACGCCTACCTCGTCCGGCTGCGCTTGGCGGTGCTGCCGGCGATCCGCGCAACCTGGGACAAGCCCTGGCTGCCCTCGCTGCCGGCGTCGGTCAACCGCTTGGTGCTGCAGAACATCCTCACCATCCTCCGCGCCCAGTCCGAGGCCGTGCCGGCCATCAAGAAGCCGCTCACCGCGGGCGGTCTCGGCGCCGGTGTCGGGCCGGGCGCACTCGCCGCCGGCGGTGGTCTCGCTGTGCCGCTCGCCAGCCTCGTCAACCTGCGACGCACGCCGCCCCAGCCGGACGAGGACCGCATCCGCAGCATCACCGAGATGGGCTTCAACCGCAACGCAGCCCGCCACGCGCTCATCC